CAAGAAACAAAGGCTGAGATCTGTTATAGCTGTTGAGAGGCAGAGGTTCAGGATATAAACTGGGGCCACACCTGCCTTCTAGAGAGCTGCCCACCCCAAGGCTCCACGCATATTTTATTTAGGTCCAGTCCAATTGAGTGCAGTTGGCGAGTGGAGAAAAGAATGTTTTCGAGAAGGTAATCTGTAACCTTAGGCCTCCCTGGGAATGAGCAGACCACCCAGGAAGGACCGAAGGTGGGGTCAGAGGGTGGCCTGAAGAGGCAGGGCGTACAGGCACAGCACTTGTCATCAACCTATATAAACCATGCGCGCCATCTGGCCCCGCACTCAGTCCAGCTTAAAATATACAGACCCTACGCTGTTTCTCAATAAACTCCACACCTAACAATCCAACATTGATCCTCTACATGTTCCCTCTCTGCTCTCTACTTTTTAACTCCAGCGCCAGCTGGTGCCTTGTTTGAAGGAGTGTGGAATAGACGAAACCTAGAGCGATGCTGTAGAAGCCAACTGTCCTGAGTCCAAAGATAGGGTGACCTAGGTATAACATAGCTGACTAATACCAGTTAATAGTCGAGAACACCCTTATATCAGAAATATTTATCCCACTCTATAGAGACCTTCTTACACAATAAGGACCCAAACAATGTGACACAAACTACAACTTCCTTGCTGTCCCACTGGTCGGCTATATAGCCCGCGAGAAATTACAGAGTTGTGCTAATATCACATCCTTGGCCGGGCGGGTGGCTCACGCCTGTAATCCTAACACTCTGGGAGGCCGGCGGGGACGATTGCTCCAGTCAGGAGTTCGAACACAGCCGAACAAGAGCGAGACCCGTCTCTACTATTAATAAAAGAATATTAATTGGCCAACTACATATATATAGAAAAATTACCGGCATGGTGGCCATGCCTGTAGTCCCCAGCTACTGGGGAGGCTGAGGCAGGAGGATCGCTTGAGCCCAGGAGTTTGAGGTTGCTGTGAGCTAGGCTGACGCCACAGCACTCACTCTAGCCTGGGCAACAAAATGAGACTCTTGTCTCAAAAAAAATAAAAAAATAAATATCACATCCTTGATCCCATAGGGCCACTAGAGGGCGTCCTGAACACACTGAAGCCACAATTGTGGCATTGTACCTACTAGAATCC